TGTTTAATTATTTTACATGTTTTAATTATTTGTTAAAACTTAATAATAAATCTATTTATTACCATTTTTAAATTTTATGCGGGAATAAATTCACCAATGCTTGTTAAATATTAGAAATATAAATAAAAGTGGTTTTTCTTTTCATTTATATTTTTATTCCTTAAATTCATCTTCAAAGTGCTATAAAAGCGTATAATTTATAAATAAAATTGTGAAGTTACTCTTAAAAAAACTTGTAAGAACCCTCATGGGGCATCCATGAAAGGATTTCCTTGTCTGCCATGTTTACATAACATTTAAGAGGGATGTTTTAAGTAACTAGCCAATTAAACCACGTTTTAAGTTATATACTTCTACTGCACGCTCACTGTTAAATTGAAGTTTTTAATAGTTTTCCACTTTCACTTTTATAAACAATGGTGCTAATACGTGTATTTAGTCCGAAACCAAAAGAAAATATTTTTTAAAAATTTAATTATTTAAAATTAACCAATCGGGTAAAAGCTTGTCGTTGGACCAATCGCGATATATAAGGCAATCTATCAACTAGCGTTTGTTGCTAGGATACCATTCTTTAATAGAAGAGCGTCACACGAGCCATTAGCTAATTGGACGTAAGGCGTATGGGCGTGTCCTGATTGACGTTCTGTAATGGATATTGTTAGCGAACTTCCGCAATATTTCGGAAATAAAAAGCGATGATGATAGATAAAGGAAATTTTCTTTAGTGATATTTTAACTTTGGAAATATAAAAATGTGCTAAATATAAATTACCCGAAGGCTATTTTTATGAAAAATTTCAATGATGAAAATAAACTTTAAATGTTTGACGTCGAGTAATCGTCGGTTTAGAATTGCCGTAAAAATGGGAGGTTCTTCGGAACTGTTTGTTGTTGTTTTAAAGTTATCGTTTACTATAAAATTCTATCAACGAGAGAAACGGAGTTTTTATCGTAGTTTCTGATTGGACAATTTTGCGAGTCATTTAGATAACGATTTTAAACTAGCTAATATATACTTTGGATATTGAAGTCAATCGATGATTTTTTAACGTCGTTATAAATTACTCGAAATTAAAAACAGCGTCGCAAATATGTTATTCAGTTCATTCTTCTGGTGATAAAAAACTTTCGCGCCGATTCATACCAACGGAGAGTTTAAGTTACAAAATTCAAAATGGCCGGAATTAAAATGAAATCGTGATCAAATTTGAAATTAACCAATAACGTGATTTGTTACGTCACTTGTTATCAAGTTTTCAATTAATCGTAATTTTAAAATTATAACGTTAAAGTCAACCATTTAGTTTTCTTTATTACTTTATGTAAATTTTAGTCGTTAACTTCTCGTAAATTTATTTATGTATTTATTTTAAGAAATCGTTTATCTTAATTAAAAATAATATGTTCTGTTTTTTATCAAACTTTGCCATCTGGTCTCTCTATCAATTTAACTTTTCTTCACTTTTCGAATCACTTATGATAATAAAAGCGTGTGTCTTCCATTTCCTTTCTCGATGTTGCCATAATTGCCATTATAGATCAATCACTGTTCCTATAATGGCTGTGCCAAGCCAATGTTTGAAGTCAGTTGTGCTGTTTTATTTTAAAACATGTTCTTGAACTTATTAAGTGCATTTATCTTTAAACAAACAATTAAGAAGTTGTTTTCCTTATAAACTGTGATATCCTAAAGAAAACACTTTAGTTGCTAAGCATCTAAAATAATCAAACAACTTTTTTCTTATGAGAATTTTGATATTCCTTTTATATTAATTTTAAAAAAATAAAAATTAATATTTATCAAGGTTATGTAATGCAGAAAACGTTCTCTCGAAATTAATAGACTATAAATATATTAAAATTAGTCATTTTGTATATATATTATGTCAATGGATATTTATTTATATATCAATTGACGTAATATTTATATAATAAAAAGCTGTTAAAAGGACGTAAAATTTCCCATAATAAAGAATTTAAAAACATTATCTTAATCGATTACACTTATTTTTAATATAAATTAATAATTATTAATAAATATTTACGATAAAAAATACTTTTTGTCTTTATACTTACCTATCGTTGTTATGACAATTATGGAATAGAGAAGTGCCCCAGAAAAAGACCATTGAAGACTATGATTTTCTTGACCATCAAAACCTTCTTTTCTAACTGCTTTTACTACTTTTAGTTCGAATTCTCTGATTTTCATATGGGCATGATAGGTCCAGTTTGTATCCTGTAAAAGGGGGAAAGAAGTAGTAATGTCCCAAAGAGATTCGACTATTTTCTTTCTTTCTTGAATGATCTCTATCCTTTTCATCTTCTCGTGTTTGGCCTCGAGCGCTTCGAAAGTAAAGGCTCCCATAATCGTATAGCCCACAACTAAAGCGCAGAGGCCAATATGAGAGAACAGCAGAGTAAGACCAATACGGAGGTACCTTAGACACTTGTCGCACCTGGTAGGTGTAGTCCTCATAGTGATTTTTTATCTTTAAAAATCATTATGCTAAATAGTAAATAAACTTAGATCGTTTAAATAAACAGTTATAAATTCTCAGTTATCCTTTTCTTGGAACAAAAACTTTTGAGTAAAGTTACTCACTCTGACCACGTGTTCTTCTCCACAGTCCTGTTTGGAGTAATGAAGTCTGACATCCTCCTTCACTTCTCTCGACGCATGCTTACTGGAGATTTGTATTTATAAATAACTTTACCTGGCCGTCTGCAATTTTTTTTCTCTACTTCAACGGTTTAAAAAATGAATGAGACATGATCTATAGTTGCTGAAAATGTTTCATTTAATGTTACAGTAATAAAAATCTTATAAACGTTTGTACAATGGGTAACATTAATCAAGATCTCAGTTATAACAAAAAATGAAAAATTAGCATTTTAAAAATAATATAGTTTTATTTTTTCCGAAAAATATTTCCCATTTAAGCGTTTCTTATCGCTAAAAAAATACGTGTACAGTACATATAACCTATATAATAAATGTTAGTTTTTAATCATTAAAAGTCTATATTATAATTATATTTTTAACTATAAAATTTTTAATAAATAATAATTAAACTTAACAATTTAATTTAAGAAAATATATATATTTTAATTTTATCATTTTAAAACTAATATAATTTTTTATTTGCTATGTTTTAGCAATGATAATTGCATTTCTTCTGTTTATTTTAGCTGTAATAAAATTATATGTAAATTTTTAAGTTAATTTTTAAATAGTTTAATAAAATATTATTAATCAGCAATATAATTATAATTATATTTTTTTATTAATTTTTTACTATAACTAAAACATACTTTTGGTATTAATTGAGGTATAATTTTATAGTCTCGAAATACATTAAATAATTATAATAATTAAATATTTGCCTATGTTTTTATTGCTATTCCTCGAAATACAAGAAAGAAAGCTGAAAAATCAGTTCTTGAAACAATTTTGTTAAATATTCGTTAACTTACATTTTAATTATATTTAAAAAATAAATACATTGGTCTAAATTGTAATTAAGGATTTGTCTTTATCCTATAGTTAATCGATTATTTGAAAACTCTGTTATTGAGAAAATTAAATTATCGGGACAAAAATTAGTGAGACTTTTTTAAATATTGGAGAAAATAACTTCTTATGTAAGCAGCGACGTTCAGTTTGCCAATATTTTTGTTGAAAACAATTTATAGAAAAATATGAAAAAAAATGAAAAGTTTTTTAAATAAAAGCGAAAAAGGTTTTCAAATTAAAATAAATGGATGAAATATAATACGAAGAATTAGGTCTTAGACATAAATATATAAATGAATTAAACTACTTTTCTACTAAAAATGTTTATTGGACATTTATATAATCATGAATCAAAATCAGTTATAAAAATTTAGTTTTTCCAATTAAATATAATAGAAAAATTTGTTAATTTGTTTAATTATTTTACAAGATTTTTATTTTTTATTCTTGATAAATATAATAATAATAATAAAACACGGTATTCAAATTAACTCATGGGATATTTAACGTTATCAAAACAAATAAATATCTTCTATATCAGTTTGTTAAAAAGATCATAATTATTTACAACGGTTTATTTGTTTAATTTGAATTATTTGAAATGTATTGTTTGTCTCTAGAAAATAAATAAATTATATACAATTTTCATGCTTTACAAATTTTAATTAATGTTAAATTAAAATTTAATTATTAAATGAAGCAGTGGTATCTCTTGATTAAATGTGTCATGTATTCAACGTAATGTACAGTACTTAAATGTTATTTTCTAAATGTATAAATTTCCCATTTTTATATCGAAATTGCAAATATCGTTTCTGTTTATTCCGTATATAAAATGCTGTTATTTATTTATTTAACTCATTTTAAGCTGTTTCTATTTATTTTAATTAAATGGTATACAAATTGGGTCATAGATTTAAAAATACATTAGATAAATTTACAAGTTCATAGTGATTTATTTTATTGATTTTACTGTCTTTCGCTATAGTTCAAGGCAGAATATATTTAAATTTATAATTATAAATATAACTATCCAAAATCATTTTTAATATTATATGCTAATATTAATTCTATACTGTTGATTAATACTAACATAATTTAATTAAATCAATATATTATAATTAATTAGATAAGATTATACACGAGATAAATTTCCAAATTCATAAAGTGGATTTTAAAATTAAACTTATTAATGAAATTCGTTTGCTTTACGCGTTATACCGAAATGCGTGTATACATATTAATTAATGTTGTTTTTTTTAGCAAGTCAGGTAAGGCGAAAATGATTGAAGTCGATTTAAAAAAGTATCTAAAAAGGCATTATTTGGTAGAATAAATTTCCATATTTGTTAGAAACTAACGATGTATTTAATAGTGTTTTATAAATTAAGAAAACTTCGGAGTGATTTAGATTTACGTGTGATTAACTTTGTTATAATAAACAAGGTAGTAGGGTGATTAAAACATTTTAATTGTTGTTATTTTTAATGCAGTTAACTTTATATAGTATTAGCTGTATTTGCAGCGTAAGAAGATTTTTTGGGGAACGATTTATTTCGACAAGAGCTATAATTTTCACAAAGCGATCTTATCGTAAAAGTTTTTCCGAAACGTTCCTTAACATTTTCTATCAACTTTTTAAATTCGTTGTAATTCAGCGAATTTTTCGTGGAAAGAAAAACTATTGATACACGAAGTAAATCTCATTTAAAATCAGAAATAACAACATTTGAACCTTTAAGCATTTTGGAAACTTTCCAAATGGAGCACGTGACTTGAAATGACGATTTTTGCCGCTTTGGGGCGCCTTTCAATTTTTCCCGAATGTCGTTCGTTACGATTCTAGTGACTGTGTTTCAAATAAACATTGGTTATCGTCCCAAAAATCTATTAAAGAAAAAACGCAAAAACTAAAATTAAAGATAGAAAATAAATATTACCTTAGATAATGTATCAGACTTCATCTGGGTAATAATTATAGACTGATAATTTTATAAGTTATTTCAATATTCGTAATTTTAAATCTTTGTAATTGATATTTAAGACATTTATTCGACATAAAATGTTTTTTCTGAAATTACTTCCTTAGTGTGGATGCATAGTTAATACACTTAATATTAAATAGTAATTCTGATAATTTCATTTTGAAGAAAACTTTTGTCGCCATCTATTGATTGAAATTTTCATGTAAAACTCAAATTTTCATGTTACGAAGAAATGATGTTCAAAGTAGAAAAAATATATTTGGCTTTGAATGAGATTTGAACCAGTACATCTGAAGTTCTATCTAAAACTAATGGATACAAGTTACGCTGTATTCTTGTCTTCTAATGGCGTTCAGCTTTAGAACATAGAAATGATTTTATCATGTCGTAAGATGTAATAACGTAATGGCTTTGTTAATCAAATAACATATGAAGTGTATACAAGCAATTCAGAAAGAACGAAGAAACAATAACAGGAGGAATACGTCCTTTTATCAGCTTGCTGCTGTAAAAATTTTTGTAATAAGAAAATAATTAATTAATTAATTAATTAAAGAAATATTAATTAAGCTGACGTTTTTCTTACGAAATTTTAATAGTCGCCGATTCTCTTTAATTCGAGAAAATGAAACAGTTTAAAAAATTTATATCAATTGGACATAACTGCAAGATAACTGTTAACGGTACTTGAAATATGAAAAGAAAGAAAAACATTAATTTAATTATCTTTCTCGCCTAGCATTAATTATTTAAATTACTTAAAGATCTACTATATGTAAATTATTTGTATTAAAGTATCAATATTGTACGCGCTTTATATTTATTTATTTATTTATAATCTTAAGAATATTTCGCAATAGGCTGATTTTCTATAAACAGCAGGCTGTATACTGTTTCAAATTTGAATAACTTGGAGAAAATTATAGATATTTGTAATGGTCAAAAGCATTGGCGTAGCCAGAGTTTTGTTATGGGGGCCTAGTAGAGGCCATCCTGGCACAAAATTGAATTATTTCAAATTATTGTTCATTAAAATGAAATTTTCATAGGAATCAACAATAACTTAACACACACAAAATATGAAACTTTCTTTAATCATACGTTCTCGTAACATTAATATCAAACTCTAGCAATGCCTTAAACAAAAATTAACCAATAAATTATTTTTTTAGCATTCTTTAATACAGTTCACCGTTTTTAATCTAGCTAGATATAGACCAAGGGTGGCCAACAGTTTTTTCCTCAGGGCCGAATTGAAAAGAAAACTTTTTTACTGCCCAAACCAGAGGAGGCCCTAGCAAGATTTTCAGGTAATGCGAGATCTTATTGTGGCGTCATCCCGCAGAGAGACTAAACTGTACATAGAGATTACAGATACACTTCACATTGGACACAGAAAGCCGTTGACCTTTTTTTTTTTATTATTTTTTAAGGGTCAGAATTTCTCAACCTTCCTATGACTTCAAATTGTGAGGATATAAAGAATTATCGGGGATCCATTCGAACAATTATTTGAAGTCCAATAGGCCTATTCCGAAATTAATTGCGGGCTGCATAAATTCATTAAGCGGGCCGTATGTTGGCTATGCCTGATCTAGAGTTTCAGTGGGTACACTATACCCAATTAAATTAGCTTCAGCTTTTTATTTCTTTTTGCAAATCGGCTCAACACTTTTTCGGCTGTAGTTTTCTGGGGGAGGCACCAGGTTAACGGGGGCCGTGCCCACCCATGCCCCTTCCTGGCTACGCCCATGGTCAAAAGAAATAATAATGATAATTGTTGTCGTAGTTCTTCTCCGCCCTGTAGAGACAATGAGGGCCTCTTTTAGCAAGCCTATTATGGATTCAGCCAAGCACACAACGGGTCGGCCGGGTGGTGAGGGACGGGGCCCGACATATCCGAACAGACCACCACCCGAAAAATTCCTGAAGATTTTTCGCCCCTTCCGGATTCGATCCCGGGACCCCAGAGCGGTAAGCTGCCACCTTGACCGCTCGGCCATCCTATTAGGAAAAAAAAATCTATATTTCTGTTCAGGTCTACCTGTGGCTCAGCGGTTTCGTTCCTTGAACGCTGGAAGTAGGTTCGCGCCTCACCAGGACGTGGCGTTTTCCGGTTTTTCTCTACGTCTGTAACGCCTGAATAGGGGCCAGTTACTCCTGGAAGGCATTATTCCCCGCGTATAAAACAAAAAATATATGTAACTAAGTTACTAACCATGTCACATATAGGGTGGCTAGACGGCCACCCTATATGTGACATGGTTAGTAAGTTCTCTTCTCTTGTATCAAGATGATACAAGAGTAGAGAACTTCGTATAAAGAATGGAAGTGGCGGCCAATGTTGGAAGAACGAGAGGCGGCACCTAGCGGAGAAAAAAGAACCGACGTGTTGTCGGAAATCGAAGAAGGTCGTGTCGGAGAAAGAGCCTACACGGCTAATATCTCCATATTAAACTCTTAATTAAGAAGGAGTTTTTATAGTTGTAAGAAAAATAAGAGGCGACGCCCAACGGAGATAAAGAAATAAAAACCAGACGATAATTGCGACTTCTGTATCGTCAGAAAATAGTTTATTATGTATAAGCTATTTGTCGTCAGTTCCTTACGATGCCTCGTCCAGTGTCGGAAGATATTCGGAATTTAATAATTCAGCACAGAGAGGAGGGGAAAACCGTGCGCGAGATAGCCGAAATGTTTAAGGTTACCTCATGCACGGTTGTGAATAATTCGAAACGTCACCGGGAAACCGGTAGCGTTTCTGCTCCCCCCCAAAAAATCGGATCGTCCTCGCCTCACTAACGAACAGGAGGATGAGACATTGAAACAAAACAAGGTTTAGTTCTATCAGGTGTTGTCGTTTTAAAAGGATTGCCCTAACGGTAATCCTTTTAAAACGACAACACCTAATAGAACTGAACTTGCTCGTATGGTTGGACACCGTGAAAAGAAGGCATGTAGAATTACAGCATACTATGTATTTCCAATATATCATTTTGTATGAATTTAATAATCTTGTAAAAAGAAAATTTTATCAACAATGTTCTTATTTATAGCCCAGAAATGTAAGAAATGGGTAATATTAATATATGTATTTTATTTTCAGACTCATACAATTCAGCTTGTTTGAAAGACGAGTGACGGGAAAGCAGTGCTTGTCATCGCAGAACATCGCAGACCATTTGGAGTTCACCCGCCAACGTCAACATTGGACAAACTCTGAGTGGTAAAGTGTATGGTTTTCCGATGAAAAAGTCTTCCGAAGCAATAATAACGGAATGGTGTGGGTCTGTCAACCAAAGGGCGAACGACTCAACAATAAATACATTCATCCCATAGAAAGGAGTGGGCGATTTTCCCTAGGTGAATTTTTACATTTCACTTTCCCTATATTTATAGAATAATTGTTACTGTAAACAGTACACAAATCCTGTATTTAATATACTAAATAGATAAACATGAAAAAATATTAGCATATTCAAAATAGTTTAACGTATTGAAAACTGCATACTACAGTATCTCCTCTCAGCTTTTTAACTATCGTAAGCTTAGAGTATAAAAAGGAAGAGGAAAAGCTGAAATGAAATTACAAACTACAACTGGAAAAAATATTTTTATGTGTAAATCTTGATTTAAACTTGTTTGCTCTTTTTCTATAATCCCAAACTTGAAGGGTTCAGAGTGATGTCCAGCAATTCCAACATCCAAAGGTGTATCATGACAAAAATTCTATGAAGTAAAATTAGTTCCTTGGATTATTAATCTGTGGATATTGGAATTGCTCAAAGAAATTCTCAATTTCTATGCATTTGTAGCTAGAACTATTTTAAGATGATCAATACAAAACCTTCCTCACTTATTTCTAGCCATTTATACAAAACGTTAGTACTTGTGTATAAACGGCTAGAAATAAGCGAGGAAGGTTTTGTATTGATTATGAAATTCTCAACCCTACAAATTTAGGATTATACAGAAATAACAACAGAAATGCAGCATCCCTAACTGACTGACTGATATAATTTCATATTTATAATGAGAATTGTATCTATTTGACTACAAAATGAAACTATTTGATTCTGTTCTACATTCTTTCAAAATGGTTTTATAAAATGGATGTTCTTGTAAAATAGATATTATTGCAATAGAATAGATAAATTACAGATAAGATGGTAAAAATAACTGATTCAAATAGCAATTAAATACAAAAAATAACATAAAACTTATAGAATGACTGTTAGTGCATAAAAACAGATAGTAAGTTATCAATTTAACCATGTTCAATTAAAGTAAATGTTTTGAGTGATAAAGTACAGTACATTTTATAAATTAATTTTTTTGGGATCTTTGAAACTATTGTGATTTCTTACAGTTTAATACTGAATATGTTTTAACTCTAACATTGCTTGAGTTCAATTTCTTAATGAGAAAGTGCTTCTTATTGGTGGAAGCTGACATCTGGAGAAGTATTTATTGATTATTAGCTTCAGTGTGTAGTCATATTGTGAGGCTCTGGACAGGTCCGAACCCTCACTAAAATTCGCATTAAAATAATTGTTTTAGAGAAAATAATATATTAGTTAGAAATAGATTTTTATTTTATGAAAACGCGACGCTAACTTTTAAACAATAGAATAATGTAAGTCCGTCGACCATTTCCGGTTGGAGGTTTCGAATTGTCATCAGGTGACGACGGGAGACCAATCGGAAAGGGGAATCTGAGAGAAAACAGATAAAACCCCGGAAATTCAAGGACGCGAGGGCTTCTTCTCCCGAAAGTTCCAAGTGACGGACCTGTTGTTGTGTGTGTGTGTCTCGCACCCATCTTCGTCTCCATCTCCCGACCTCGGATCGACATCTTTCGATCAACGGAAATCGACCGCATCGTCCTGGAGTTGTCGAGACGTGATGGAACGGTTCATTCGCGAACAAGGGACACTCCTTCAAAATGGGACTATCTTGGAAAGGAGAGGAAGACCCAGCGACCGCAGCCGACGTAGAACTTCCAAGATCGCAGTAATCTTGTAAGCTTCTTTCGTGTTTAATAAATGGTTGTGTTGTTTGTAAACGAAGCATCTATCTCTGACTCAACTGCTTCCACATGTCGTTGATTGTTACCGCTCGGCAATCCAAACGGCAAGGGAGACGATGAAGATCTATAAAACATATTATCATTCGTCGAAAGTTTTTTTATTTCTCCCCCCCTCGGCCCCCACAATATTATCTCTGCAAATTATCTTCAATTTTGGTTTAGGCTATTCTGACTGTAAAATTCTTTTATAAAACAATCATTGTTAAATCTATATCATATCATCCTTTTTATTCTTCCTATGAAGATGATATGGTTTTAAAGCTGATTGTAACCTCTTTGGTCTCCAGCAGATGGCAGTAAAAGTTTCATGCTTTTCTTTGGGAAAATCCTTTTTCAAAATTCTCAATTACAAAAGTAGATAGAACCAAACAGTTTTTTTGCATTAGAATCCTATTTAATTCTTGTATTAATGTAAGGTTCAGAATTTTTAAAATGAAATTTGTTAATTTTCTAAAAATATTTAGTCATAAAAAATTAACAAATTCAATTTTCAAAATTCTAAGCTGTATAATAGAAGAGTTAACTCATTAAAGTTTAGCAGTACAATCATTTACCAATATGCATAAGTAGACATTTCATGATGTGCTATAACATTTCACAAATTTTTCAGCAAAATTTCTACAAAAATACTGTTTTAAGACTAATTTATTTGTGGTGGTAGCACTCTAATTCTTTTTGTTTTTAGTGGTACATTAAAAGCAGGAAAAATCATGGTGTTCTTAACATGAATTTTGAACAGGGATATTTTATAAAATCATTATTTTATTATTTAATAATTGCAATTCATGGACTTAGTTCACAAACTAAGAAGGCACTTAGAATAATTTTTAGTTTAAGACTATTTACAAAAATATTTAATTTTCGAGTCTATCCATTATTCCTTTTTACACAATCATGTAAGTATCGATCACTAGAGGGCTAGAACTTGATAGTAAGGTGAGAAGATTTACTTATTGTTTTTTAACATTAAAGTGTCAGATCCTCAAATAAAAGGCTGACGTTTGATCTTTTTTAATAGTGGAAAATTTTTACCTATTACAGATATATTCAATTACAGATATACTCAATCTTACAAAAACTAAGATTTTGCGAGAATATATCCACAAAAACGTCACTACGAACATTTTCCAAACCAACAAACGAGATTGGTCATTGGAATTTTCTGGACGAATGCTTTGAGATATAAGTAAAGACATAGGATCAGTAAAAACAGACATCTTTTCATCAGCAACTAACCTGATAACGTACCCAACAATAGTTGCAATGTTTGAGTGTCCAGTGTGTTACAATTATATGGGTCTCCTGATAAATCAATGTCAAGCAGGGCACTTGGTCTGTTAACGATGTCCAGTCTGTCGAGGAGAAATGGATAGAAGTAGAAACTTGGTTTTAGAACAACTGTCAGAAAAAATTGCTTTTCTATGTAAGTACAGAGATCATGGGTGCAATGAAAGCCGACTTTTGCAAGATAGACAAGCTCATGAATGATATTGTCCTTTTAAAACTTGCTTTTGTCCATCCTTGGAATCATGTCGATGGGAAGGTACTTATCAACAAATAATCAGCCATATTATAGAGCGACATTCTATTATGATAAACCTTAAGCATGACACCATTCGTATGATCATTGTTGGTTCAAATTTACTTCATGATTTTAATTGGACAACCCGGCTTTATTGTTATTATTGACATTTCATCATACAAGTGATTAAAACCAAAGGAGAAAATAATTCGTACACCATTTATATTATAATTCGAATAGTAGGAAATAGAAGAGATGCTACCCGTTTCATTGGAAGAATTGAAGTAATAGGAAAAGGTAGACGTATGCTATGGGAATCGATACCCAGAAATGTAACAGGAAATACACAACACATTATATCTATGGGAGATTGTTAGAGATTGTTAGCCTTTGACCATGTTGGAATGTATGCTTGAAAATGGGATGTTGACAGTTATTATAACAATCAGTCCCTCCAGATTACCAAGTGGTTTTAGACGAAATCATGAATGAACAAAAGAAAAAAAAAAAAGGGGGTGAGAGAGAAAAAAAGAGAGATATATGTCCATTTTTCCTTTATCTTGATATGAAATATTTTTATTAACCTTGAATCTTAAGAGAATTTTAGTCCTAGAAGAAAATATGAATGAAAATTGATGAATGTTAACGAATAGTTGTTTTTTATTTTCCATAGATGCCATGGATGATCTTGATCTATCAAGATGGTATTGAGAACCTGATTTTGTCCAGTTTGAATCATCCCAATCTTCAGGAAGTTCCTCCGACTCCTTGGATAATCTTTATACATTGTCTCCTTTGCTTATTCAAAAGCAGTTCTCCAAGCAAGAGCCCAGAATGACAACCCCTTCATGACACCCAGTGATCGTCACCATACCATTAGAAGCTAAAATACCAGAAAAAAGTGAAACAAGTGAACAAAATGGCAGAAGAGCGTGCATGCCATTTGGCAGAGGGGAGAAAGAGCAAAAGAACACCAAGAGGAAGAACACCTCTGAGAGAGAGAGAGACTGAACAATCCTCAAGTGAAAGGAAGAATTAATAGATGACATACCCGACGAAAAAACAAAAAAAAAAAAAAAAA